TAAAAAATGCTGGTTTTGTTTACCATAAAAAATTAAATCACATATTAAATTCAAATATTAAAAACACATAATTAACTTTATTGTGGGATTAAAAATTTATGTTAGGGATAAAATATTTTAAAAGGAAAAATTTGGATAAATTTTTTCAAATTTTTTTTCTTTTAGGATAATTTTCCCCTTTTATGGGGGTTTTTAGGGTATTGATTTTCGTTGCTTTTAAACAGTCGTAATCATTTTTTACTAAAAACAGGTTTTTGTAAAACCAAAAGAATAAAAAAAGGTTGCTTAAAAAAGTAAAATTTTTGGTTTTGGGTTAAAAAAATTTCCAAAACCGTGACAAATTTTAGTTAACCATTTTCCATAAAAGAAATCAATTTAGTATTTTGAAAAGAAAATTTGTAATTATTCACCCTTTTATTTTAAAATAAAAAATTTAAACCTTTAAATTTACCCCCCTTTTTACCACTTTTATTTTCTGTTTTAAATTTTTTAAAAATTTGAAAAAAAAACAAATGTTTGGGGAAATTTTTATCATTAAGTCAAACTAATAGAAAAAATTTTCAAAAATTTTTATTTTGAAAAAAATTCTTACCGATTTTTAAAACAATTATTAATACGGAAAAAATTTTAAATGAAAAAATAGATAATTTTTTTAATTAAAAAAAAGCCATTTACTATTTTAAATACTTTTTTTTCAACCAAAAAAGTAAAAAAAAAAAAAAAAACAAATCTGGAAACCAAAAGGACCTCGAAATCATTTTGCCAACCTTTTTCTGAAAAATTGCAGATCGGTTGATTGAAATAAGTTGTAAAAAATCAACTTTTTCATCCCCCAGATGGGCTTAGGGTCTAATTTAAATTAAAGAGAGTGAACGTCCAAGAATTGATTTCCTTCGATTCACCAAGCGTATTATTTAACATTACGCACAAATAATAATTCATCTCCGAAATAAAATAACAAAGGTTAGCCTTGCAAATACAACGCATGCAAATATTGCACATTATTATTAACAATTATGTCTTGCTTACGTTTCGTCAATCTCAAGCGCACGAATCAATATGAATATTTATATGAACAATAAATCCATTTATTTTTGTTTCTTAACACTGACTAGAACGCGAGCACTTTCGACCAAACCGTTGCTTGGTTACGGTGAAAGATCTCCATCTTGGCCACGCCTACTTCGGCCTTCGGTCATTGATAGTAAAAGTTGTAAAAATTACTTCTCAATGATGTATTGATTTCAGTTTGTCCCATTAGATCTAAATAAAAGTATATGTTGTTGTTGTTGTATAGTATGAAAGACACCTTGATAAAAATGGTTAAGATATTCAGTAAAATTAGTCCTGTGAAATTGATATTTGAACAGTGATTTAAATACACCTTGTTTGGTGGTACACCAATTGTGCATGTAACTGCTTGTCGGTTATTAAAATAAAATTCATTAGTGTGTCATGCATACTTTAACCGGATATGATTTTATCCTTCATTTTAAAAGAAAATCGGGTAATGTATTGCCGTAATGGCTACATTTAAACACCTTGATAGACTCAGTCAAGTAGATAGTGGCTATGATAAGCTTAAAGTTAGGATAACATGATTGAAGATGAAGCCATAATGTGGCCAATATTATTTTATACTCTTGTTATCTATCTACATTCTATTGAGGGTACAATTAGCAAACAATTCAATGTCATTAAAATTGAACTAACGTTTGACCAGATCAAATTACATGGCAACACATTTCTTAAAGAATATATACAAACTCTTGTTGTTTTATAGGTCCAATTAATTTATAGTTAAGACCACACTGCCAAATGACATATTTATTTAGTTATTTTGATCGTAATGTCTCTTTTTTAAAGCAACATAATTTATGTCTAATTTTGTAAGCACGTTCATTAAAAAAAGTTTTGTCTTTTCTACTAAATCCGTTTAAATTTGATTGTAATTATGTTGCATACATATTTTGGATTGAAATATAATATTATTAAAACTAAATTGAAGCGTTTATATTTTCTCTCCGCACTTGTATCTAATCATCAAATGTGTGAAAGTTTTACGGGGATAATACTTAACAGTTGTTAAGTATGTATGCTTGTTATTATTTGATTTTGCAGTATCCATACCAATACGAAATTGTTTAAATTGGCAATGCATGGATCAATTTTCTTTAAAGAAATGGGGAACATTATACGCTCCGTTTGCAACGTAACATCAATAGTAAAATCCTGTTTAGTATGGTTTCCATAAGCATTCGTCATAGTTGTAATGTGCTAAAAATTGTGTAGAGGCAATAACTTGAACATTAAATGAGTTCGGTCATTTTGTGGTAACATGGTGTCAAAAAGTCAATATTCTTATTAAAACCATCCTCTTGACAAAACCTACTTACTTTAAAGATGGGGACATAACGGCAATGCATTACCCGATTTTTCTGTTTATGTTTGTACATTAACAACATTAACTACCTAAATAAGAATATAAACTCGTTTCACTCAAAATGAGGTTGCAATAATGTTATCCTAAAGTAAATGTTCTTATAACTATAAGGCATCGCAGACGGTAGGATTTAGTTCTACAACATTAATAAGAGATAAGATGTACAATTTTCAAAGAAATACAACACTTGCATTCAGACGTTATTCTGCATTGTAGGACGCATGGTAGGTTTCCCTAAAAAAGTTCACTCCCATTGATCCCTTAAATACTTTACTCACTAAAATGTTTTAATCTCTATGAGTAATGGTTGAAACACCTCCAATTTTTATTTTTTTATTAGCTCACCAGAGCCGAAGGCTCAGGGTGAGCTATTAGTATCAAAGGGGGATGCTCCGGCGTCCGTCGTCCGTCGTCATGCGTCAACAATCGTCTTCTTCTCCGAAACTACTGGGCAGATTTACTTAAAATTTGGTCTGTAGCATCCTTGTGACAGTCACACTTGAATTTGCTCATATCATTCTAATTGGCCCCTTTTAGGGGTCATCAGAGCTAAAAATAGAAAAACCTTTAAACATCTTCTTCTACATAACTAATGGATGGATGATCACCAAACTTTGTCTGTAGCATTCTTGGGTAGTGTTTTATCAAGTTTGCTCATAATAATTTGATTGGCCCCTTTTAGGGGTCTCTAGGGCTAAAAATAGAAAACACTTTTAAACATCTTCTTCTACAGAACTAATGGATGGATGATCACCAAACTTTGTTTGTAGCATTCTTGGGTAGTCTTTTATCAAGTTTGCTCATATGAATTTCATTGGCCCCTTTTCGGGGCCGCTATAGCTAAAAATAGAAATACCTTTAAACGTCTGTTTCTATAGAACTAATTGATGGATGATCACCAAACTTTATCTGTAGCATTCTTAGGTAGTCTTTTATCAAGTTTGCTCATATTAATTTGATTGGCCCCTTTTAGGGGTCCATAGGGCTAAAAATAGAAAAACCTTTAGACATCTTCTACAGAACTAATAGATGGATGATCACTAAACTTTTTCTGTAGCATTCTCGGGTAGTCTTTTATCAAGTTTGCTCATATTAATTTGATTGGCCCCTTTTAGGGGCCACTATAGCTAAAAATAGAAATACCTTTAAACGTCTGTTTCTATAGAACTAATTGATGGATGATCAGCAAACTTTGTCTGTAGCATTCTTAGGTAGTCTTTTATCAAGTTTGCTCATATTAATTTGATTGGCCTCTTTTGGGGGTCTCTAGGGCTAAAAATAGATAAACCTTTAGACATCTTCTTATTCAGAACTAATTGATGGATGATCACCAAACTTTGTCTGTAGCATTCTTAGGTAGTATTTTATCAAGTTTGCTCATATTAATTTGATTGGCCCCTTTTAGGGGCTGCTATAGCTAAAAATAGAAATACATTTTAACGTCTGCTTCTGCAGAACTAATTAATGGATGATCACCAAACTTTGTCTGTAGCATTCTTAAGTAGTCTTTTATCAAGTTTGCTCATATTAATTTGATTGGTCCCTTTTATGGGGCCGCTATAGCTAAAAATAGAAATATATTTAAACGTCTGCTTCTGCAGAACTAATTGATGGATAATCACCAATTTCTGTCCGTAGCATTCTTTGGTAGTCTTTTATCAAATTTGCTCATATTTATTTGGTTAGCCCCTTTTAGGGGTCTCAAAAGCTAAAAATAGAAAAACCTTTAGATATCTTCTTCTACAGAACTAATTGATGGATGATCACCAAACTTCGTCTGTAGCATTCTTTGGTAGTATTTTATCAAGTGTGCTTATATTAATTTGATTGGCCCCTTATAGCTTCATTAACTATAGCTAAAAATAGAAATTTCTGCTTCTACAGAACTAATTGATGGATGATCACCAAACTTTGTATGTAGCATTCTTAGGTAGTCTTTTATCAAGTGTGCTCATTTGATTGGTCCTTTTTAGGGGCCGCTATAGCTAAAAATATTAGGAGCAACTAAAGCTAAAATGCCCTGGGCGGTGGCATTTCTTCAAATTATAGTTTAATAATGAAAGGAAAATAACTCATGTTTGAATTTTCCATATATGTGTACATGCAAACATGAGAACTCTCCCAATTTGAGTGGGAGACACCTTCTTTCTCCTGTCAATTTTTTAAATATTTTTCTTAGAATAAGGGGTGTTTTAAAAAAAATAAAGAAATCTCCCTTCTTTTTCATTTTAAAATTTCCTGTCAATTAAAAAATCTCCCTCTTTTTGAAGTAAATTATCCCTTTTGAAAAAAAGTTCACATGTACATGTTATGCATAAAAAAAAGATTGAATGTCTTAATGTCATGACCTGTTTGCTTTACAGAGATCTGAGGTCAATGTGCTTTGTATCTTTCTGTTTGTGCCCTAGAATTCAGATGGTCATTACATCATTCTAAGGTTCATTTGTAGGTCAATCTAGAGAATTTTCCTTAAGGCCTAAAAAATGTTTCATTTGTTTCTGAAAATGTCAAAGACCTTCAAGGTCAAAAGTCCAAATTTTTGGACCACCATGCGTACCACCACCAGCATGCGGACCACCACCAGCATGGGGACCACCACCAGCATGCAGACCACCACCAGCATGCTGACCACTCCAAACATGCGGACCACCGCCAACATGCAGACCACCGCCAACATGCGGACCACCACCAGCATGCTGACCACCACCACCATGCAGACCACCGCTACCATGCAGGCCACCGCTACTATGCGGACCACCACCAGCATGCGGATCATCACCACCATGCGGACTACCGCTACCATGCGGACCACCGCTACTATGCGGACCACCACTAGCATGCGGATCATCACCACCATGCGGACTACCGCCACCATGTGGACCACCACCAGCATGCTGACCACCACCACCATGCAGACCACCGCTACCATGCGGACCACCGCTACTATGCGGACCACAACCAGCATGCGGGTCATCACCACCATGCGGACTACCGCTACCATTGTGGACCACCACCAACATGCGGACCACCACCAACATGCGTACCACTGCCAACATGCAACCACCACCAGCATGCAGACCACCACCACCACCAGCAGACCACCAATATGCGGACCACCACCACCATGCGGACCACCACCACCATGCGGACCACCACCACCAGCAGACCACCACCAACATGCGGACCACCACTACCATGCGGACCGCAACCACAATGCTAACCACCGCCACCATGCGGACCACCACTACATTGCGGACCCCCACCACCAGCTTATGTTATACACTGGCGAGGTATTTTGAGCGACTGACAGTGAAATCGCCAAACACGCTAAAATGTAATGTTTATTTGTATTCTTACAACAATATGATTATTAAATTATAGTTATCGTTTGCAATTACTTTTCAAGCGTATTAAATATAACATAATTTAAATGTTTTGATAACTCGCTAAAAGGGGGCACAATGTTCCATTCGGAAATAGGATAAAATTGGCAACAAATATACTTTCGTTCCGTTTCACTAAAATTTAAACGACAATTCAATGTAAAATAGAGAGCAACATAATCCTTTGAGAAAGCTCAGCACGGCAAAATTGAAAATGCTACTTGCTCGGCCCCGTTGTTCACTTCACTGTTGTTATATTTTTCTGGTCCTTCGGGATCATTAATGCCAGCACTACTAAGTGTTGATAATTGAGTACCACTCAAGCCGGTGCTAGGGGGCGTGCGGGATGTTGCACATTTTCATTATCCCTCATGTACAGACTCATTCAAACCGAGTCTGCAATTCTCTTGTAATCTTGTTGTGATTAACTCTTCAAAGAGATCACTTTCCAGATTTTTATTGAGCCATGAACGGTATCGGGAAGTGCAAGTTATCGTCCATGCCCCTTAAGCAGAATTTAACATTTAATCACGAAAATTGTGAAATTTTGAAATGCATAACATCCGCAAATATGCTCAAGTTTGAATCATTTTTGGATTGTAAATAAAAACACATATTAACGTCACAGATAATAGATACTACACCAGTATGGATTTAAATAGATAGGATGTGAGATTAACACAAATATTTTCACTAACTCAGTCATTCGTAATGAAATGTACTCCAAAATTGATTAAAACACGATATCACCAGTGTTAGAGGCAATTATCGAGTATGTTACTGCCATTCACAGTTAGATTTCATTGATACTGTATCATCCATTCTTCTTTTTAAAATTAAATCATTTATAAATTAAAGTAATGTTGTCCTACTCAAATGTAACATTTGTATAAGCGAGGTCAAGGAGACAATGTTTGTGGGAAGACTTAAATTGTACGATGTTTCCGCAGTCCAATATAATTCACGATATATCCCTTTGTTTCTATTACTGGTATATACGTTTGCACGTATTATTCACATACATTAATAAATAACGAAAACAAAAAAATATGTCGAGCCTTACGAATATTTAAGGCACATTTATTGTACAGCATGTCAGACCAGCATAGATAAACAAATTGTGTGTAACCGATGGAACAAAATGTTATAATAGAGGAAAGAAAATTATTGATTGATAAAAATTTAATCATTTTGTTTCCGTAAGTCTTATGTTTATTTCATGTTTAAGCAGACTTTTACTTGAAGCAAACGCTTAAATTCGTTTTACAAAATCTGAATAAGATCTGATTGGTCATAATTATCATTAAAAATGTCCACTACCTTCATAGTCTTTAATACTTCATTAAAGGTAATAAATTACATTTTTCTCAGATTTCCGGAGAGTGCAGCGGTTATATAGACGCAATTGCGATAAGTGTCACTCAATAAGTTTGCAATAACCGTAGATAATAGGTATCGTAAAAGTGTGTTTCAAATAATGTTTTTATAACAACAGTCTTTAAAAGAAATGTTGATGTTATTTGTGTGTTGATTTACAAAAGCCATCAAAATGAGTGTTTTTTTTTTCTTAATTGGTAACCAATCGAACAATGTTAATTTTTATAACAACTTAACGTACATGAAACCTGTGTATTTTTTATACTTTATTCACACGATTATCATTTCATACTATACACACACACCATTTTGGAAATAAAGTCAATGGTATTTAGACATTATACAGTTGATTGTTGATAAGTGGTGTATTTGTGAGTAACTTTCTTTGTGTGAAATTCTTATAGACATTGACAAGACATAAATGTAATGGATTTGTTGCACGTTGAATTACACGTTTGCGGAAGTCAGATAATAACAATAAAGAAAGACAATAATCACCATTTTCAGTTAATATGGCGTAGATCAAAGCTATGCATCAGTCTTGTCTTGTCCGATCAAAACATGTAATGATGGATCTTCACACTTCGCGAAGTTATCTTCACCTTTTGTCTGTAGTCTTAGCAACTTTGAGAAACCAAGCTTTGACTTTCTAAAATGAGGCTTGAAAAAAAACAACGTTTATAAAAAGTTGTTGTGTTTTCTTCCAATTAGATTTACGGATTACAGTAAAATGTTAACATGTTTGTAGCGACTTTATTTACACATGTCATTAGTGCAACCTATGTTGGGCGGCACACCCATACGGTCTGATCATGGAATGCACTGTTTGATATTCAGTCGATACACATAGGGTAATTTTCCAGAAAAAAATATGAACGGTTCTGTCGGATTGAAACGGCTTATTCACTTATTATAGCTGGAAAAGGGTAAAAAGAATGTCTCATGCCGACAAATAACATGTCAAGATATGAAAAGGTAAAATGAAAAAAAAAAGAAATGAAATACATGTTCAAGTGATTGGTAAATACTGATTGGTAACGTTTAATGGGTTAATACATTCTTACTGACATCTTAATTCAAGAGATAAAGTTGACAACAGCGTCAATATGTCATGTTTCTTTCTGCCAATTTCAATAGTAGAAGACTAGTCATTCAACAGAGTCACGTGTCACAACAGTGGGCTGGAAAATAATCCGGCATAGTGGTTATTATATATATATGAAATAATTAATCAATTATAATTTGTAGTGCCACAAATTACTACAAATATCAAAACCTAAGCAGTTTATTCGTTTCTTTCCATGTTTGATTCGATCCAGGACTCCGTACGTTGCGGATCACAGGTTGGGATATTGTACCGTACAGTCACGTGGTACTAGAAATAAAACGGATGAAAAAAATCCGTATTATAATAAAACAAGATATTTCCATTGGCGATCAAGCGAATTTATTTTTTCAAAGTAAAAATGTTACAATAAGTAAAATTTCGATTTCTTACAACTATATAATATTTTTGAGTTTTTAATATAAGTACACAAATGTGTTGTTAATGTTATTTTCCGGGGGTCTGCTGCTTTAAGTATAGCTATATTGTATATTTTAATATATAAAAATAAACACTTGTACAGAAAATATGTTCAAACAATATGTAATTTCTGTATTAATACACGACATCACTGAGATACTGACATTATTTTGTATGGTTTTCTATAAAATTCGATCTATTTAAACCGCAAACTATAGGGATGATTTCAGATTTTTAAAACTTACATTTTGTTTAAAAATTGTTTACAAAAATTGGTTGAATTTTTGGGGAAAAGGGAAGCATTAAATGTCATGTTTATAACAATAATATCATAGTTGACGAGTGTCTAGCTCGACATTGGACATTTTGAAAGTCTAGCTGATATATTGTTAAGTTCAATATTCGTTTTGGATTTACATTGCTCATAAAGGAATAAATAATGTTGAGCTGAAAAGAGATTGCCTAGCTCATCATCGGTCATGTTAATGTCTATGTGAGTGTTGATTGAAATTGTATTAAAAACTAGTAAAACTATAATGTTTAAACTGAATGGTGAATTTATGTATGACATTGAATGATGAATGTCGATTAATAAGTATTAATTGCACATGCTTTTGCTACGATTTAACATATAAACAGAAATTATACATTCCAGAAACTTTTAAGATTTGTGTAGATCCTTTATTTCCTCGTAATTAAACCCTCACCTCATTTGGAGAGATGATATGTTTCGGCCCCTAACTTTTGAATTTGAGCCAGGTAAAGTTTATGCTTAGTCAGTTTTCGGTATTAAGCTTTCAGAGAATTTTATTAAACATAGTTTTCACTGTTTTTGAATTATCCGTAAAAACTAGTTATGTTATTACCAATATATATGTATCTGTTTTACAATTTGAATTGACTTAAAAAATAAACGCAATTAAGATTTCAACTTTAATTTCACCCTTTGAAAAGTATACAAGAAACTTCATATGAAATCTAAAACTACTGTATTACAGACACCAGCAGCCATTAACTTCGATCTTTCAAAGGGGCGAATGGGAATTTATAGCCTTCATATACATAAACTATTGTTGATTAAATAAATTGTGACATCACCATTCAGTTATATTTTAACATATCCGTTCATTGCATTTTAGTTTTAAATAATATCAATATTATCTTAAAGGCAATTCTTTGTCAATATTTGATTCGACCCCCAACCCACAAATGAATAAAATAAAAAAAATAAAAAAATGTGCTCAATTAGTATAAGGGGATTACTATTGAATATATATGTTTGTATTCTGTTGTTGTACGGTTGTTTTATATTTACAGGCATGCTTAAACATACGTTTTACTTTTTAGCTTGACTATTCAAATAATATGGAAAGCTATCCTAGTGCAAAAGCGTCGGCGTCGCCGTGACCACTTACGCTAAGATTTGCGTACAACCGCAAATATTTTCAAAGTGCATTGATAAATGTCTTTGAAACTATACACAATTGTTGTACATAATGTCATCAATCTGTACTTAGGAGGAGATAACTCTATCAAGCATTTTAAGAAGCGTATGCCTTTTTACCGTCTTAGAATGTCCATTAAAGATTGCGTTAAACCTCAACCATTTTCGAGTACATTGATATATGGCTTTGAAACTTTGCACAATTGTGATACATCTGTCTTCATTCAAATCTATTGATAGTTGTCAGTAACGACCTTGAGTTAAATGGCCGTTTTAGTGAGGTGACCACTATATCAAAATAACAAAATAAGATATAACAATTACATA